AGAGAGAGAGAGAGTACTATTGACTCTGTTACAATGTAGTATCTGTTCATAACTACATTATCAACCTACTAAACACAAAGAGTCAATATCGTTTCCACTGAGACTCAAACTCATGACCTCTCATATGCGAGAATCCTTATTTCCGTGAGAACTTGCATGCAAACTTGTATATAAATGCACGCAAGAGCTTGTGTGTATTTATCTAGACGATTTTGTGCATTCATGTTGATTCTTAGATTATCACGTAGGAGAGATTCTTATTTTGTCATTAATATTGTATATATTACAAACGTTTTTTTTTTTAATTCAAAACAGTAACTATGTCAAGCACCTTGTACTCAATTGACACCTCTATAGCTCTCTTTAAGGGAATGTCACATGATCGAACTTCATGGTGGAGTCTTTGAGCAAGTGGATAGTATTAAAAAAAAAAAAAAGAATACAAATAAATAAAATAAATAAATAACGGCAACTATGCGTCGTCGCACATGGTGGCCTTGTGCCCTTGTGGCCTATAAGTGCTTATATTTTAAGTTAACTATATTTGCTGAATGATGACATTATTTCAGCAAGCACCAAGCAGTTGTTGGCGAATGGTTTGAAGTTTGAATTTGTCAAGGAAATTAAAAACAATTATTGTCATGTCAAGTAAGATTCTTGCCTACTACATCAATAATAATTAAACAAACTTAAACAAAACCAAAAAAACCAAAAAAAAAAAAAAAAAAAAAAAAAAAACAAAACAATACATTGCTACACTCCATGGTCGGTTTTTAGATTTTTATGGTCTCGTTGTTGTGAGGTCCTACGACCTACAGTAATACGGATTACGTCAATACTACCTAGTAATAGAGTCAATAGTACTCAAAAAAAAAAAAAAAAAAAAAAAAAACCTATTGACCTTTACCAATTTCTATCATTGACTTTCAATTTGATCATAATTGGTTCATTAATTATTGATTTTGCTCCAAATTTAGTTCTCCACTTAAATATTTGTTTAAACTTTAAAATGAATTAAATTTAAGGATAAGAATGTAAACATTAGCTAGCATAATCACTTCTCCATATTTGTATATTTAAGGGTGATGAAACAAATGATATAATCAACTCAAATTTGGGGCAAAGGCTTATCAATAGCCTAGTTCAAATTGGCTTATGCATCAACTTGTTCTTCACATTCCCACTAATGATGAGCCCAATGTATGAAGTTAATGAATCCAATTTGTCCATGGCAACAATAAACCAATTTTTACATTGATACCTTTAAATTTAAACAAAATCAATAGTCAATGAATCATTTATAATCAAATTGAAAGTCGATGATAACAATTGGTTATTTGTAAAAGTAAATAGTAAATGGACCATTTATGGAATTAACTCTTTTTTAAACATAAATTTAGTTTTCTATTTTTCATTTTGTACAAATAAAATTAGCGTATAAAAAACTATCATTAAAAAAAAATTTAATTGAGATATTTTAAATAACACTCATATTGATTTTTTTTTTTCAATTTTTAAAATTAACATACAATTACATTAAGTCATAACTATTATTAGGACTAGTATTAGGACTCTTTGTATTTGAGTAACATTATGACTCTCTATCCTAGTCTTCCTCTGATTCTCTCTTGTATATATTCCCTCAATCTGAACAGTTGTAATTACTACTCATCTAATACAGTTTATACAGTTGATCTAGTATCAGCTAGCTAGGGGTTTTTCTCTCGTTCCCATGTCTGACGGATCTGTTAACTCCTCGGAACAGACCGTCTCTGAAGCTGCCATTACTTCCTCCGGTTCCATATCTGTCAATTCGCTTTCTACTGCTCATCACTTATTAGTATTAAGCTTACCCACAAAAATTTCTTGTTTTGGAGGACGTGAGTAGTTCCCTTTTTAGAGGGACACAGGCTCATGGGTTTTATTGATGGGACCAACCCATGCCCGCCGGCCTTTTTACCGGTTGTCGTCGGCGGCGAACCACAACAAAACCCGGCCCATGTCGTGTGGTATCGCGACGACAAAGTATTGATTTCAATGCTGATTTCATCACTCTCCAAAGAAGTCATGCACCTCGCACAATTCCATTCAATCTAACCTAGGACCTGAATACAAAAAATTACACAATTTCTTTATTCAGTTAGGAATAACTCATAGATAGTCTTGTACCTACACTGATGAACAAAATGTTCGTGTTGAAAGAAAACATAGACACATAGTTGAAACGAGTCTAACCCTCATGGCTTGTGCCTCTGTTCCATATCAATTCTGAGATTTTGCTTTTGAGACTGCTGTATATTTAATTAACAGGATGCCATCTACTATTTTAAATAACTCTAGTCCTCATCTTAAGTTGCACAAATCCCCTCAATCCTACTCTTTTCTTCATGTCTTTGGTGTCTATGTTATCCCTATTTACGACCATATAATCGCCATAAAATGTCCTACAGATCTTATCTGTGTGTCTTTCTACGTTGTCCTGAGTCATTCCGGGGTTATAGGTGCATGTACTTACAGACTAATAAGGTTTATGTGTGCAGACATGTCGGTTTGATGAAGCTATTTTTCCCTTTGCTACTAAGAATGTTTTGCAGACACCACAAGCTCCTCAAATCACTTCATGGGCAGAATCAATATTACAGCACAGTGATGTGTCGTCGCCTCAGCAGGAAGAATCGGCGGGTGGGGAGGTCCCGCCAGACCAACCCGCAAGGGCTTGTCACGAGCACGACCAGCCCGCTGATCAGCAGGTTGTAGCGTCGTCTTCTATCGCCACTCGACCAGGGGGCGTCCGCGAAGAAAGTCAGTAAAATCTACCACTCAGACTCACACGATGGAGACTCGCAGTCGGTCTCAGGCACCACCCACAGGTTTGAGTGCTCAGGTTTGTCCCCCAGATCCCACTTGTTACACTCACGCAGTAAATCATCCAGAGTGGCGTGAGGCTATGGATTAGGAATTCAATAATGTTCTACAAAATCAAACATGGTGTCTTGTACCCTCTCGGGCAGATATGAATGTTATTGGCTGTAAGTGGGTCTTCCGCACTAAACGAAAGACAGATGGTTCCATTGAGAGACACAAGGCAAGATTAGTAGCAAAGGAATTCAATCAGGTGTCTGGACAAGATTTCTTTGATACATTCAGCCCTGTGGTAAAACCCACTACTGTCAAATTGCTTCTTTCCTTGACTTTATCTTCTGGTTGGGTTATCAGGCAACTTGATGTTCATAATGTTTTTCTAAATGGAAATCTGTCTAAAACTGTTTATATGAAGTAACCACCTGGTTATATTGATGCTCAATATCCCAATCATGTTTGCTTGCTTAAACATTCTTTGTATGGCTTAAAACAGGCTCTAGAGCTTGGTTTAAACGTTTACATACGTTTTTACTCTCTGTTGGATTTCAAGTACAAAAAACGGATGTGTCTCTATTTTACTACTCACAAGACTCTGCTTATGTGTATTTTTTGGTCTATGTTGATGATATATTTGTGATGGGAAGTGATCAGGATCTTGTGACTCGTTTGATAAGAGAATTATCTGTTGCATTTAAGATTAAGGATCTTGGTGAACCTGGTTTCTTTCTTGAGGTTGAAACAATTAAATGTGATGATGATATTTTACTTTCGCAACAAAGATATATGAATGATATTTTGAAACGTGCCGGAATGGCAGAATATAAAGCATTATCTACTCTTATCTCTGTTTCAAAATCTATCCCCTTCAGTGTAGATTTATATGAGGATCATATGCAGTACAGAAGTATGGCAGGAACACTACATTATCTAACTATCACACGCCCAGATCTATCATTCGCAGTCAATCAACTGTGTCAACACATGCATGCTCCTACAATATCACATTGGGAACACTTAAAATGAGTTTTGAGGTATGTTAAGGAAACCGTTAACTTTGGCTTGCGCATAAGAAAGTCAGCATCAAGAGAACTCCATGCATTCTCTAAGTCTGACTAGGCTGGATGTCCTGAGGATCGTAAGTCCACGAGTGATTTTGCTGTGTTTCTTGGATCCAACCTTGTGTCTTGGGCTTGTAAGAAATAAAGAACTGTTGCTAGAACTTATACTGAGGCAGAATACAAAGCTCTAGCAGATGTCTGTGCCAAAGTTACATGGATAGTCTCCTTGCTGTGTGAGATTAAAGTGTCAGGTACATCTGTTCCAAAATTATGGTGTGACAATCTTGGTGCTACTTATATGTGTGCAAATCCCATCTTCCATGCCCGTACCAAGCACGTGGAAATTGATTATCACTTTGTTTGAGATAAAGTTGCTTCTGGAGATATTCAAGTTAATTTTATCTCCACAAAAGATCAACTTGCAAACATATTTTTACTAAAGCTTTACCTAGTCCTAGATTTTTTTTTTTTTTTTTTTTAGAGACAAGCTACATGTTACTAGTATACTAGACTCCAATCTTTGTTCAACTATTGCCTCACTCAAGTAGATATCCAACTCAGTTTGTTTCTTACCCCCCCCCCCCCCCCCCCCCCCCCAAGAATCCAATCTTTGTTTTTTAATTTAGGACTTGACTAAATGTTGTGGCTTCCCAACAGAAACAGAAGAGGCAGATGTAGCCTGAACAGAAACAGGAACAGAAGGGACAGAACTCGCACCAGAAGAGGCAGATGTAGAATAATCATCAAATAATTCAGTCAGAGCAGCAACTACTTTGTCATAGTATGGTTTACCCTTTTTCTCACCATACATATGATTAAGCTGAGTATGCATATACTCTAACTTGTCTCTAGGTCTAGAATGTTTGCAAAAAAAATCATTAGATTCATTTTATCAATATCACCGCAATACTTCTCAAATTTTGCCTTCATATTTTTCCCCATATCACCCACTGCCCCACCGGCTTCCACCATGCCTTTCAATAGGCAGTACAGATCAGAAATCTCAGTAAATAATGTGTTTGAGGTGACATATAAAGAACCAGAAATTCTAATGGTCATGTCATAAAAACACTCCAGTAACTAGACCAAACTGCCAACAGATTCCCAGTCCATAAAATCAGGAATTGAATTACCGAAATCAAACTTGAAAGAGCAATCAGATTCCAAAGATTCAAACACTTTCTGGTAAGTTAATGCAGACTGCAACATCAAATAGGTAGAGTTCCATCTGGTTGGAACATCTAAACACAAAGAAGACCTTTTTTCAATACTCAACAAGTCAGCCAAATCCCTGAACTTCTTAAGCCTAGCAGGAGAGTTTCTAACATATCTGACCACCTCCCTAACCTTTTTAACAGAACTATCACAATCTTTCAGACCATCTTGAACTACCAAGTTCAAGATATGGGCAATGCATCTCATGTGAATATACTTTTCCCTCACAGTAGATGATCCCCAAGACACCAATTTTTTCTTCAGAAACCCCATAGCAGTGTCATTTGATGAGACATTATCAACAGTCACAGAAAACACATTTCTAAGCCCCCACTCTAGCAAACAAGTTTCTATGATTTTGGCTAGATATTCACCTTTGTGAGAGGTAACATGGACACATGCAGGGATTTTCTTATGAAGCTTCCACTCAGAATCAATGAAATGGGCCGTTACTACCATGTAGTTAATTCTTTGGATGGATGTCCAAGAGTCAGTAGTGATACTAACCCTATGACTGCTTCCCCTTAAAAATGACTTCAATTTTAGTCTCTCCTCTTCATAGACAACTAGGATGTCCCTACTTATAGTCCACATAGATGGAACTATAAATCTAGGGCAAGCAATAACTATGAACCTCCTGAAAGCTATTCCCTCCACAAATCTAAAGGGCAATTCATCTATGATTATCAATTCAACCAAGGCCCTCCTAATTGACTCTTGATTAAATACCCAGGTCCCTATTTCCCCCATAGTTGGCTGAGCAGAATCAGAAGATGTAACAGCTTAAAATGTTAACAGGGATTGCCTAGTATCCTTGGAGTGAGGATTTTTCAAATAGCTCAACATGTGCTTTCTTAAGGAAGGAGTACATGTTTTTTTGACTCACACTGATAAATTTTTGCACAATAAATGCATTTTCCTTTTACAGTAACATCATTACTGTCCTTTATCCTCTCAAAATGATCCCACACTCTAGATCTGGAATCAACCTGTTTTCCTCTCAAAATGATCCTACACTCTAGATCTGGAATCAACCTGTTTCCTCTTCTTGTCAGGAACAACAACAGGAGGTTGCTCATTCTGCCGATGATTTTTCTCAACAGTTTGGGCTTCCACCCCTGAAGGTCTATCAATTGAAGAGTTGGGAGGTTGACTACCAGGCATACTAATATTTTTCATCTAAAAATGGTTAACTATCAGTAAGCATAGGTAGGGTTTATATTCAAGAATAATAAACAGTCTCACAGTCAGCATACAATTACACAGAATCACAAAAGCAGAAAGGATTCCAGAATTAGACACATTTTGTGTCATCATTTTCAAAGAATACATAATTATTTATTTATTTTATTTTATTTTGTCATTAAGGGCATTAAGGGCAAACATCCATAACCTTGACATTTTTAAACAAATCCAGATTCAGGGTTTTAATTTCCCTTTCCAGAGAGGCAAACACTATTATACAGTCATGGTCTCATGTTCATTAGGCATCATTATCTGGATTTAGGGGGCAGGGGCTTCCAAAAAATCAGTATATCACAATTTTCAGAGACTCAGACTCAAGAGTCAAGAGTATGAGAAAAACATTTCACCAACTGAGAGTATCACGGTATAAAACTAGGGTTTGCAATAAACACTCAATAAGTCAGTGCTTCCACCAGAATGCCAGATATATGACATAACATATCATATATTCTCACAAAATGAGAAAAAAATTTCACAAACTAACAGTATCAAACTAGAGTTTGCAATAAACACTCAATCAGTCAGTGCTTCCACCATATATATGACATAACATATCATAAATTCTCACAAAATGCGAAAAACAATTCACAAACTGACAGTATCAAACTAGGGTTTGCAAAAAACACTCAATAAGTTAGTGCTTCCACCAGATATTCACATAAGTGGCATAACATATCACAAAATCGCATAAACAATTCACAAATTCAAATTTAAAAAACTAGGGTTAGAAGATTTACTTCGTTTCTCACATATACCCCGAGAACAATGGCTTCTTTTTACAAATATCACCAGTAGAGGTCACAGCACCAACACCAGCAACAAGGGCTTCCACCACACCTGAGACGTTGAGACCAGACCACCGGAGTACCGGACTACACAACGGGTGGTTGTGGAACTGAGAGATTGAGAGACTGGGAGACTTGGAGAGGGGAAGTAACGGAGTTTCAGAGAGTGGGAATGGAGAGTGTAGTGTACTAGTGTGTTGAGAAAAACCAAAATTGCGATTCGCGAAGGGAGAGAAATCTCAGATTCTCAGAGACTTAGAAAATCAGAGAAATAGAGAATGAGAGAAACAGAGAAACCCTAGCTTCGACTGCGTGATTCGCAAATGAGGAGACATCTGAAGTCTCAAAGCTTATCAACATATATATATATATATATATATAGTAGGTCTAAACCACGTCGTATCTAACATAGCCTTAGGTAACCCTACGCTATATCGGATAATCGGATGATTCGGGTGAATTAATTCACCACCCAATCCGAAATCTCAGTAGCCGACGTCGTTTTGAGAGCGGTTCGGTTTTTCGTCTTCGGGTTCGGTTTTCATCGGTTTGGATAAATCGGCCTTCGGTTCGATCGGGTTCTTCGGTTTTTTCGGTTTATGCATTGCCCTAACGTGCACTGCGGTAAAGAACGACACCGTTTTTTAAGTAAAGAGACGGCGCGCCGTTACCGTTAATGGAGTGTATATTTTTGTGTATTAATTACCAAATGAAACTACAGTGTATCTAAACTGACAGTGTCTCACGTATTATTTTTATATTATCAAGTGAAACTGCAATTGAAATGAAATGAAACTGATGTTGTATTGAAATGAAACTGCAGTGTACACAAAATGAAACTGAATAACAATTTCACATATTTGAGTGTATATTACTCAACGAAACTGTAGTTATATCAAAATGATACTGTAGTTGTGTTGAAATGAAACTACATTGTATATAAAATAAAACTAAATAATATTTCACATATTTGAGTGTATATTGTGCAATGAAGTTGTAGTTATATCTAAATGATCATGTAGTTGTGTTTTAATGAAACTATAGTGTATATAAAATAAAATTAAATAGCATTTTCACATATTTGATTGTATAAACATCGAATGAAACTGTAGTTATATCGAAATGAAACTGTAGTTGTGTTAAACTGAAACTGCAGTGTAAACAAAATGAAACTGAATAACAGAGTTACTTTTTGCGGAATAGCGCAGAACGGCAAGAAATAAATACCGTTTCTTTCATTAAACAAAACGACATCATTTTGAAACTTGTTGCATAATTGATTATGCACCGCGGTGCAAGATATAATTTGCCAAAAATCACTGGGAAAGAGGTTTGTGGGATTTATGTTGAATTGAAGTTGCAAGGCCCATTCAAACTAAGGCCCATTCCAGCAGCATTGGATAGTTATGCTGTGCATCCGTATGCACCATGCATGGTGCATACCCCATACATGGTGCATACGGATGCCAAAACGACGTTGTTTTAATAAAAAATGCGCGTCTCCCCTTTAAAAAAAATTCAGGTTCGATTCCCAACAACAACATTATATTGTTCATTCATTATGGAATTTTAGTTCATAGATTATGGAATTATAGTTCATTGATTATGGAATTATAGTTCATCGATTATGGAATTGTAGTTCATCGATTCTGAAATTTTAGTTTATAGATTATGGAATTTTAGTTCATTCATTCTGGAATTTTTAGTTCATAGATTAGATTATGGAATTATAGTTCATCGATTATGGAATTATAGTTCATCGATTATGGAATTTTAGTTCATATGTTGTTGCTGGGAATCGAACCTGAACTTTTTTTTAAGGGGAGACGCGCGTTTTATTAAAACGACTTCGTTTTTGCATCAGTATGCACCATGCATGGTGCATACGGATGCACAACATAATTTGCCAGCAGCATTAGCCTTCATGTGTTTTTCTCCATAAGTGGACCACGGTGTGGACAATGATCCAATACAATGCTGGTTTTTATTTTATTTTATTTTATTTTTTTGTTACAGTGAATCAATGATGTATCACATTACAAATATTTATATTTTCAAATGAAATTGTAGCATAATTAAAATAATAATTTAATATTATTATAAAGTATTTAATGTGTGTGGAAAATAAAATTTAAAAAATGACTCATGCAATAACATATATTGTCAAATATATCTGAAATGTAATTAAAATGATATTTTAACGTTACTATAATGAAACTAGTGTGTCTGGAAAGTTAAACTAAAAAATATAGCCCATATAATAACATATATTGTCACATGAACTTGAAGTGTAATTAAAATGATACTTCAGAGTTACTATAATGAAACTAATGCATGTAGGGATGACAATTCTACCGCACCCAATGGGTTCCCCGCATCCCCGCCCCTACGAGTTTTAAAATACCCGCACAATTTGGGTAATGGGTGCGGGTATGGGAGGAGTTTTGTATACCCGCACGGGTATGGGGGCGGGTGCGGGGGGACGTATCCCGGCCCCGCACTCGTACCCGCACTTATATATATTGTAATTAGTATACCTTTATTATATAAGTTTATGTATATTTTATAATTAAAACTGCATAATAAATTAAACTTTTTCGCTTTTCGTTAATGAAAATTGAGTCAGAACAACACAAATAACATAATGAGTAAACACTTAATACAATTTATACTACCAACACAATATTAGTTCCAATTAAGGATTAACTTGGCTCTTATTAAATTTTAGAGTTATGTTCAAACTTATATAAAAAAAAAAATTCATGTGATAATAAGAATTGTAGTTTAACATTTTTATTAAATTTAAATGTAATATTAATAATTAGAGTTGCGGGTTGGGTATTACCCGCACCCGCAAAATCCCCGTGGGGGCGGGTATGGGGTAGAAATTTCATTACCCGCGCGGGTGCGGGTGCGGGTGCGGGTAGTGGGTTGGGAATGCGGGTGCGGGGGCGGGGGATAAATCCCCTGCACCCACCCCGCTCCATTGCCATCCCTAAATGCATGTGGAAAATGAAACTAAACAACAGAGCTCATGCAATAATGTATATTGTCAAATGAACTGAAGTGTAATTAAAATGATACTTCAACGTTACTATAATGAAATTAGTGTATGTGGAAAATAAAACACATAACTCATACAATAATATATACGGAGTATATTGTTAAATGAAATTGAAGTGTAATTAAATGATACAACATCATTTTACTTTATGATTTACATTATTATATGGACCGTGGTCCACAATAAAATTTGTCTTACCCCATTTCACCAACATGGCAACATGGTTGTTTAAACATTCACTTTTGTAATTATTTTTATGTTTTCAAAAAAAAAAAAAAAAAAATTTATCCGGGAAGGAGTGATTGGATTAGCAGAATATGATTTTTGTATACAAAAATATAACACCCTCTTGGAGAAACCACAACAAAGTTGGTAAGAGTGTTGTTTTAATAATTAATTACAATGTTAAAAGTTCGATTTCTAATAGTAACGAGTTATTAATTTTCTTGGTTTGAATCAGTTAGCTATGAGCAACAATATATGGTTGGTTTACCTCCTTATGCTCATTTATTGGCTAGGGTCACAATGCAGGGGTTTACTCCATGCACATCCTCGAGTAGTGGTTACGAGTTTCATCAGTTAAAAGAAAAAAATCAATCATTATTGCATGGACCATGGTCCTCACAATTGTATAGACCATAAATAAAAAGTACATTTTAATATACTAAGAGTATATTATTTAGGTACGTAAGCTACATTTTTTGAATGTACATTTTTAGTATACTAAGGGTACATTATTTTATATAATATACCTTCAATACAAAAATAATGTATCTTCAGTACAAAAATAATGTACTTTTAATATATTAAAAATGTACATGATATTCATGGTTCACACAATAATTTACCGTAAAAAATAATACCCTATTGGTGGAGCCCGTTATGGGCTAATATATTATAAAAACAAGGAAAAAGGTTCAAATTGGCCACTGAACGTAACCTGAAAATGCAATTAGGCCACTGAACTAAAAAAAAGTGCAATTAGGCCACTGAACACTCCAAATGTATGCAATTTCACCGGATAGCAGGTTACCATCAATTTTAGCAGGTTACCTGCTTACGTGGCGGCT